GGTAACTGCAAATACCGCAGACATTGAAACGATGTTAGTTCTCCATATTGTGGAGTCTTTATTTCAGAATGAACTACATTTTTATCCAGCCAAGGACAGCAATATTTAATGTGGTTAATATTATTAAATCACTAAATTTACACTGAGTTAAGGCGACAATATCCCAGCTTCTTAAGATTTCCATTAAGGAGTAATATCTTGTCTCTTTCAATACGTGGAGAGCTGTAGAATCTTTAACATATCCTCCTTATTCATGTCTTTGATTAAAGCCAGGTTAATTAAAATTGAATTCCAACATTTAGAGTTTTATGCTTTTGGTCTAAGGAAAATTAAATGTTTTAGTCATTCTGTAGCTAAATGAGCTTCGAACAACGAGTTAAAGCTAAATTCGTTTGAAACTTGGCATTACTTCTAAAGAAATATGTGTTGTTCGTTCATGTTGGTTCTGAGAAGGGATTCGGTACTGAATTGTTTTTAGAAGTCAAATGAAAAATAAGTGTTCACTCTTCAGAAGTATTTCTTTCATGTGCTCAAAGTGTTTATGGAATATTGTTATCGCCTTGCTAAGAGACATTTGTCTCCCCGCATTCACCTTTGGAGGCCACAATTGTTTAAAAATGATCTCCATGGTTCATCTAAACCAATGCAAAGAGCATTTTTAATATTCTAGGTCCGTCCTAATGAATATCCTCGGCTTTAGGTAGCTTTAGACTTGCAAGAGAAATGAGATTAATATTTATGGATCTCAACAATCTCTGCTTTATGTTGAATATTTTGGATCAGCCATTTGGTCAGTTTAGTACTTTAAATTGTAAGTGTTTGTTCAACCTGATATATGGAGGAGGAGTTCGGCCGAAAATTGCTTGTATTCAATTGAATAATACTTATATAATAATAAATAATACATGAATAAGAAAATCAGCTGAGTAAATTTTTTTTTAAATAATTAAAATATTTACTCTCACCTTTTCTTATTGATAATTGAATTTGATATTGGTTCTTTATATACCTGAAGAAAAATATATTGATTTAATGAAAAGCACATTCATAATGGGTTTTTTAACTTGACAGAGGAAGTTTTTTCAAAGAAAACAATCGAAAATAGAGTGAACGGTTTATACGAAGTATTTTCCTGTTCAAATTTTCAAACATAAGTGTATAACGATACCTATATACGACTTTTTTCGAATGATGGATCACCCACATCCTAAACTACTAGTTGTAGTAGTACTTGAAAGTTTGAAAGTATGTTCTGCATATGTTGTAGCACCCAAAACGAAAGAAATTTTCCGGGAAGTGAACCTGGAACCTTTCAATTCGAAAAAAATTGACTTTTTGCGAATCACAGGATTTACATGAAATTCGGTGCACAGGTAACTCTTTGTCTGAGTTCCGAGAAGATGTCCTGGACCGATCTATTCAAAAAATTTGTATTTGCCCAAAGAACGAGCTCAAATTACTATCAGCTGCAACATTTCTTCGACTCGATGGTTGAGCTTTGCTTAATATATGCAACATATATTACAAAATATCAAATAGTTTAAAAGTTATAATAAAATTAATAATGTAATGAAGCTAAGAAAACTTATTAGAACCAACTTAAAATTTTGGGCGGACAAAATCGCGTGCAAACTCTGGTTTTCTTAAAAATCCAAAATTAGATTTAATATGCAAAACATCTGTATGTACTTGTTTGTATATAACCTTATGAAAAAATTTCCGTGCATACAAACAAATCTCACTTCAGAGATATTTTTTCACCATTAAAAAGTTTTTATTGGCCCCAGGGATTCAAGAAATTTACAATGATTTAAGGCAAATGCTAAATTCAAGAAAGACTTTTTTTTTTTAATAAGAATGCAATACTACATATAGACGAGAGATTTGAATATTTTTTAAAATATTATGAAATTTTCATCTTTACATTATTTCAGTTATTTCTGTTTTTTTTTTTTTTTTGGTATTATGAACCAGTTTTGGAAAAAATATTTCGTTCTTCTGTGAAAATGTCATACCAATATTTTTACGACGACCTTAATAAAATACCGTTAATGCAATTGAGTTTCAGCACTACAAACGCCCATGGCTTTAAAAGCCCAACAAAATCTCGGCTTTTCTGCGCCGTTATTGGAATTTTACGATAATCTCGTTCATTTCTCTGAATGTCGTGTTCGTTGGCACATCACATCTTGATTCCAGCGCTTCAATACATATCCTTCAGTGGAAAATTTTCCTCAGTTTTTTTCTTTTTTAATATAAGTGTGAATTTATAGTGCACCGTTTTGAAAATTGCCAAAAGCTGAGTTCCGAGACTGTGACTTTTAACAAAATAAAACTAACAAAAGTTGAATTAATGTTTTTAAAGTGTTAATTCTTAATTCATTTTGGATTTTGCTGTGCATTTTTTAATTTGTCATTCACTGGTGAATAATTGACAGTGTGAAAAAAACTATAAAAAAAAACACGACGTAAAGTAAAAGCTCGTGAAAAGTGTATATATATATTGCGTAATTGAAATTAAATTGTTAGACGTGAAATATTTTTATTTAATTTTTTTTTTTCATTTACACAACGTTGCTGAAAGATATCAAACAAAAAACGAAAAAGCGCCAAAATGTTTAGCAGTCATTCGGCCAGCTTTTTGGGAAATAGACCCACCATTTTTGATTTTTCCGAAAAGGCACATAGCCTTTATATTGAGTAAGTATTGTAGAGAGGAATTTTTCTTTATAAAAATTATAAAAAATACAATACGGAATTTTTTACTAAGTAAATACCATCTTCCAACTTCCGCTACCTAGATTAAAAAGCATCTAAATATTTCTCAATTGAAAATTTTTTTCGCATTAAATAATTTCCGTTTAAATTGTGCACAATTTCTACTAAATTACTTTGCATTATCTCTTTGCAATCCATTACTTCGCCGTTATCATCATTGTCCTCTTGGCTGGGTACTATAGCAGCAGTGAGGTAGCAGGGTTGCACTGATTGGCAGTGCAGTGCATTGAATGAAAGGAAATGAAATATTCGAAAATCGATTAATTTAACAACGCCACTCCATATTTCTCTTCTAATTTATCTGGCTACTTGCATTTCGTGCTTTGTCACGATGTCTTCTTTTTAATTTTCACACTATCCCCTATTCTTTGCATCGCTTCGCTGTCGTCTTATCGTCGTCGACTTCGTCGTCGTTGTTACTTTCCTCACCTGCTGCCCTCAACTCGTTGCTCCAATCAGTTTGTTGGATTGTTACCAAGTTTGTTCGTTTATTGCTTGTCATCGTTTTTATTCTTTGTTATTTTTTTTTTCTTTCTTTTTTCTCGTTTTCAAGTTTGTGAATTTTTCAATTATCTCCTCTTCACTCTCATTTCCAATATAAGCGAATTGTCTACTTGTGGAAATCATGATGCCAATAACAACAGTTCTTTGGACTTTCCTGAACTTATCTATGAACATATAAATGTGCTTAATGTTTTAAGATCACTTTTAAAACTTCGTATCTGGACAGATTTTTTTAAATTAAAAATTTATGAATCATTAAATCACATAGAAGATCTTATTGTTAAGAGTTTATAAATTTTTTTTGCACATTTTTCCAATCTGAATGTTTTTAAGTGCATGAAAAATTTAAAACAAACATGTGCATTAACTTTTTAATGCATTAAAATTAATTTAATATTTAAATTATTTTAGAGTAATCACGATATTAAAGACATTTCAGAAACTAAGATGCATAAAGTGCATTAAAATACGAATTATGCAAATAAGTGCATCAAAAATTTTTAACATTTTATATTTCTTCGCATTTACTATTAATTAAGTACATTAAATACTAAAAAAAAAAGCAGGATGAAAGACTTTAAAATAAGTATGTCTTTAGTTCAATATTAACATTTATTAAGTGCATTACACGTTTAAAACGTTTTCAATTTACCAAATATTTATAGAAAATTATGACAGACAGACCAGCTGAGTTAAGTATATACACAAAATATTCAATACATCAGCAAACATAAGTCTCAAACCGATATTCCATTCTGGTATTGTACACTTTCTTAAATATTTTTTCACTATTTGTCTTGTAGGTAAATAATCTTGAGTAGTAAACACAACTTCTGCCATTCACAATAGTAAAACCACCGTCAAATGTGGCAGCATTTCCGTATGGAATTATGCAAGTGCAGTTGAAATACACGAAATTTTACTGAAATCATATCTACATTTAAAAGAAGATAATTCACGAAATAAATAAGGCCATCTTAAACAGAATATACTTGTAGTCTGTCTCCCCTATAAAATACACCACACTATGAAGAGAAATTTTTTCGTACAACAACGCGAAAAGAGATTTAATTCATTTAAAAATATACATTGAATAATTTTTGATGTATTTCTTCTCTTATACTTAATTTTTTATTTTTGTAATTTTATAAAATCGTTTTTCCATTATTTTTTTATTATTTTTACAGCTTTGACTTTTAAACTAAAAAAGTATAAACACTTGTTTCTTTTTTTTATATTGTAGCTTATTTATTAATGTTAGTTATTAATGTTGATTTAAAGCTCTAATTTAGCTTTAAAAGGTAAAGTTCATTTTATTGTATATTAAAGGGGATTTCGTATAAAAAAGTTTTAAATAAATGCATTCATTTTAAACGTTACGAGTCCTTTTTTAATTGTTAGAAATTTAATTTATGAAAAAAAAATACAATTCTTATTTTTTTAAGCTTTTAAAAATTAGTTTAACGTAAAGCATTTTGGCATTTAACTGCAACAAAAATTAGGAGGATTATGAAGAAATCATATTCTAGTAGCATATTTTTGGGTTAAAAACTCAATAAATAATTTGCTATTATAAAATCATTTTGCGCCTCAAAGTTAACTCTCGCCTAAATTTAATCTCAAAATTCTGTATATATCCAAATATTATAATAAATAAATGCTAAGAACAAACCTAGTAAAAATGAATTATTTCCTTCACCCCAAACGTTTCGTTACAGTGCATTTGGCATGAGTGATAAAAGCAGCACCACTAACAGCCTTCCCAACAGTCCGATTCATGCGTCTACACCGGGCGCCAACAACAATGGTTGTAGCAACAATAGTCCATCGCTGTTGACTAGCAGTAATAGTAATAGCAGTACCGGGCTGCTCAATTGCACCAACAATAGCAATGGCAACGTTAGCAATAACAACAACGGCAGCGGCTTAAGCAATGGTCCAGCAAGTCTTTGTAATGCCAATGGCAATAATAACAACAATACGTGCAGTGCCAATCGGAATGTTGTCGACAACGAATCAACATGCTTCCGCATGGACACCGACGTTGTTGCCTTTGGCGAGAAGGAACCCGATCCAGACAATATCAAAATGTTTGTTGGCCAAGTGCCAAAATCCATGGATGAGACACAATTGCGTGAGATGTTCGAAGAGTACGGTCCAGTGCATTCGATAAATGTGTTACGCGATAAGGCGACTGGAATCAGTAAAGGTAAGTGTGGTGGGGAGAGTACGAGTTAGGAAGCAATGAAGATAGAAAAAGAGACAGTGTGAGTGGCTCTTACGGTGCGGGAGTGAGCTATAGTAGGTGGGGAGAGGAGAGAAATGTGCTAACTAAATTAGTTGAAATTTGTTGAGAGTGAATTAAATCATGTGTCGAGAGCACAAATTTTAAAAGGTTATGGAGCAGTAAATAAAGTTTATTATTAAGATATAAAGTTGAACTGCTAAAATAAAAAAAGTTAGCTAAAATGGCACATATCCACACACCTGTTAACGTGTATATAATAGACGAATAATGTAAATTAAAATAATATAAAATTATATATAATAAAATATATAAAAATAAAATAAAATGAAAACATAAAATAAAATAAAATTATCTTAATTAATTCAAATAAAATAAAATAAATTAAAGTAAAATAAAATGAAATAGAATCAAACAAAATAAAATAAAATAATACAAAATAAAATGAAATGAAATGAAAGGAAATAAAATAATATAAAATAAAAAATTAAAATAAAACATAAATCACAAAAATAAAAAAAAGTGAAATAAAATAAAAAAATGAAATTAAATGAAGCAAAATAAAATAGTAAGCCGATGGCCTAAATCGTAGTGCGTACTTTTTACTTTTTTGTGATTGTAATTTATTCCTTTTTTTTAATTTTTAATAAAAAAAAAGTACAGTAAAATAAAATAAAATAACTTAAATAGAATAAAAAAAGTGAAATAAAATTAAATAAAGTAAAATGAAATGAAATGAAATGAAGTAAAATATAATAAAATAAAATAAAATTAATTAAAGCAAAGTAAAATAAAAAAATTAAAATAAAATAAAATAAAAAAAAATGAAATGAAAAAAAAAAAATTAAAACAAATTAAGATAAGATAAAATAAATAAAAAAAATTAAATTGAATGTAAAAGCAACTATTTCTCTTAAATAATAAGCTTTTCCAAGTGTTTTATCTGGGTCATTGCCTCTCTCTATTATTATACACCATAATAGGTGTTTTAGTGCTTTTTATCGCTAAACAAATATCATGTTGCTTGTTAACGTTAAAACAAATTACAGCCACATTAATTAGACTCACCTCAAATTTATCAAATTGAGATATGCAGCCAACCAAAGAAAGAAATACCTCGACATCTACGAGTAAACAAATGAAAAAATAACGCATTTATAATCAGTGAAAGTGGGTGAGTTGAGCAGGAAAATAAGCGAAACCTTATGTCAACTTTAAATGGTGTGGAACGAAATAAACGCAAGCCGAGAAGCTTTATTACTCGTATACACCACTTTTATCATGCTTTTATCACCGCCATATGCTTGTGTTTGTATGGTTGCTCAATAAAACACACATAAAAACCCAAATATCTACGCATAAATGAATTTACACGCATAAGTACATACGTATGTATGTGAGAACTTATGTCTCTGGGGATGATGCCTGAAAGGAGGAAGTCCATTAAAATTATTTTCGCACAACAATGGTTTCCCACTTCTTTTTTTACAGCTGCATTTGCGAATTGCCAAAGCAAAAGTCATTCAATTATGTGTGGCTTTTCCACTCCTTACCATCTCTTCAATTCACCTACATTGCCTTTTTATACAATCATTTCATTCATTTCGTTTTGTAAGTGTTTTTTTCTTTTCTTATTATATTTTTTTTTATTTTTTCCTCTGTCAATTCACTTACCAGTTATTTGTCATGTCGTTCACAATAATGTGTCTGTGTGTAGGTTTGTGTGCAAAAACTTTATTTTCCTTGTTACGGTTATATGTGCTCATTTTGAAATATATAAGCGAAATTCTCGTAATTTAGGGTATTTTTAGAGGTCAAACCTTACAAATGCGCTCAAACACAAGCAAAAGCAAATGAATATTTGCAAAACTGGAAATTCCCGCCTTTATTACTTTACATATAAATGCCATGATGAGTATGCGTATGCAGCAGCAGCAGGAATGGCATGATGTTAAATTTAAATGTGGAAGGCAGATATTTCGACAAATAATTGCGATCATTGCACATAAAGTAAAGTATGTATGTAAATATGTTTGCTTGTGATGGATTGTCTGATTACTTATTTATTTATTTTTTGTTTGCTTATTACGCAAAAGCACTAATTAATTAGTCAAGGACTTTGACTGGTTTAATATATGCATATTCTCAATTAGGATTCTCCACAAGTTTTTCATAAATAAATATTACTTTTTCTTAATGGCATTTTATTTAATGCAAACACGTGCCTTTGCTCTAGTACTAACGAAGAATTTAAGTAGCAAATAATATTTCATATAAATGAAAATATGTTATATAAAAAATTATGTATAAAAGTAAATTCAGAATATTTTTTAACACAAAATTTAATCTCACTCAAAGGTTGTGGCTTTTAAAGACTCTGAAAAAAGAATTTAAAAGAATTTTAAATTTAGTGTGATTTTTGCTTTACTGCCTAATTTGGTTGAGGTTTGAGAGTTATTCGATTAGAATAATATGGAAAAATATTTTTTTTTTAATGACATTTAATTCAATGCTTGAGCATTCGTGTTAGCGAAGAATTTAAATCGCAAAAAATATTTAATATTAATAAAAATATTCATACAAAATTTATATATAAAAGTAAATTCTGCGAATTTTTAACACAAGAGTGTTAAACTCCCTCAACTGAAATTAAGAAATTATTCATTTACCATTTATTTTGGTTTAGACTTCAGAAGTGTTCGATTAAAATAATCTGTACCGTAGTCGTTTGATAGCATGCTTTTGCCTTCTGATACCTTTTAGTTCTATTCAGTTTTCCATCACAATACCTTTAAAAATGATTATTTCAATGTGTAGAGAGTAGCTCGATCCTAAAAAAAAATTTAGTCGCATGAAAATTGGGCTAGGTTAGATTCCACTGGCTAGCTGCTATGTCATAAATAGACCTGTTAGCATTTTTATGTGTCGGAGGGAGGTTCACTTTTCGCGAATTGTAGGATAACCTTGGCAGAGAATTTGAAAACTACTTCTAGTTTAGCGTTTTAGATAAGGCAAGACAGAACCAAAAGTTTTTCAACGCCTTGTAGGCCATTAAGGTAGTACATCTCATCGTGATGTGTATTTCAGCCGCATGAAAAGATTACCTACAATAAGGGAAACAATTACATTGACTAGAAATCTCAGTTTTGTTATCATATTCTTCGACGAAGTATCACCATTCGGATATTTTATATAACCTTAAAACGTAGCAGCATTCATGTACCATAAGCAGAGAGGAAAATGTGGCTACCAATATAGGTACAGCGATTTGAGAAAGGTAAATCAATTCTTATACTTACTTATTTGCTATACACGCGTAGACACCGCTTACGCGATTATAGCCGATTTACAACAATGCGCCATTCGTTTCTGCTTTTTGCTGTGTAGCGCCAGCTGGAAATACCAAGTACGGCCAGGTCCTTCTCTACTTAGTCTTTCAAACGGAGTGGAGGTCTTCCCCTTCCACTAATTCCACCGGCGGGTACTGCATCGACAACTTTCAAAGCTGGAGTATTCGTATCCATACGGATCACATGACCTAGCCAGCTTGGCCGCTGCTTCTTGATTTCATTTCGTTTTTTAAAAAAATTTAGCTATGCATAATATTTTCGGTGATATTCGTTAAGATTAGGGCCCTCACATTATTTCGACTTCCAACAGCCCGTGTCACAGTTTATGTCCCTTGTTTAAATACCACTTCATGAAGTATGAAAAAATGGAATTTTTTGTCATAAGGACTCTTAAATCTGGAAAAATTAAGTTTTGAATTGCCTAAAAGTAATATATATTGAAGATCCCTCAGAATATTCTTGAGAAGTATGATTAGCCTCTACATTCTGCATACTCTTGAACCTTACCAAAGACTATTATCTTGTTCTTCATGCTATAGGAAAGTAAATCCGCAATAACCGCTTAGTAAAGTTAAAGTGTGTTTGTGTGTCCGACAGCTTCAAGCAGCTGTGGATGGCCTGCTAAGCTCTATTTGAGCTAAGAAAACTGTAGATTTCTCAGCACCATTCATTTTAGATCCATCTGTTTGCTCAAACCGTCCACATTATTTTGTCTACTAGGATTTTTCCAAAATTCAGTTAATGTAGTCTATTAGATTATTAAGGCCAAATGTTACACTACTGTGCCCGTAGGTAGTAGCCGTATGCCAATTAATGCGGATTTACTGGGGTTGTTCGAGGAGCCCTTTCCCTACCTTGGCTCGTTCATATTTGAATGTCATATGTAATTGTGCACATAACTATGCGTGTTGTTAAGTACCACTGGACTTGCCAAGTTATTTATTGTGTTGAGTGCCTGGTTCAGCGGAGATCCAAGAGTTTCCAAATAGAAAATGCGTACAATGACCTTAATGCGATCTGTTTAGGCTGTTAGCATGTAACAGTAAACCATTGAATACAAGAGCTCCAAATATAGGTGTTAATACTCACTCGTGAGGACTGCCTCTGTGCTACAAGCATCTCTCTTTGTGGCTTTGGTTAGTGTTTTAAATTCATATTTTTAAATTTTTGCTATGAATAACATTTCATTTTTGCAATCTTTCGTTCTCCTTTCTTCAGTTATTACACTATAATTAAATATATTTCATAGTTTTTAATAGGCAATTTTCTTACATCTAAATAACTAATACTGGTATTACCAACTAACTCTGTTAAAAATAAAATATTAATTGCTAATTAACTAATTAAATGCTAATGTGAACCGTTTCTTATGTACTGATATTGTAGATAATAATGATCGAAATTTGATCACAACATACTAAGTATGACATTTCAATAATATTTCCAACTTTATTTGTTAAGAAAAAGTGTAACTCTAATTGCACGGCCGAAGTTTAAATCATCTCTCTGAGGAAAAAATTATTTTAAACATATAAGTACTTCTATATCCATATATAAGGTTTAGTACAGTTCATGAGAATCCTTCTCACTCCTCCTCACGAAAGGGTTTTCCAA